AGAAACCAGAGCTGTATTATGACTCAATTTACAGAAACCAGAGCTGTATTATGACTCAATTTACAGAAACCAGAGCTGTATTATGACTCAATTTACAGAAACCAGAGCTGTATAATGACTCAATTTATCAATTCCACTCAGACCGCGCATGCTGTGAAAGATATCCACATTCTATGGTTCGAAAAAATTTTCAGAAAGAAATTGAGTTTTTGCCACAAACTGAAATTTCAACCTAACGGTGTATACTCTTCGATTATTTAAACTTTTATTATTTGATCTGACAGAATTCAGTTTGAAATTAGAAAGGTCTAGAACATCAGGTTGTACTGATACAAGGATTACAAATAAGAGTTTGTGACAAGAGCTCAATATCTTTATCAAATACTACATAATTGAAGATAGAAGTCAAATCTTCATATTCAAGGCTACAAAAAATACATTTGGGATGGCAAAACTAAAGCCTGGCAACACTTTAAAGTCGGCCTAGTTCCAATATTTTTTTTTATAGTAAAAACCTCAGATCTCTCGACCCGTGGGCCTTGTGAGGTCGTATTTTAAACGTTATCTATTTTGTATGGGATCTCGCGTGACCCCAGGGAACGGATGGATGATCGAATTTTCAAAAATTTACCTCTAACAAAATTCGATTTTTGAAAATTTGAAAATCCACGAATTTTTTTTATAATATTCGCGAAATTTTTGTTCATTTTTGTTTTACATGATATACACAAAAAGAACATGTTCCAATTGAAATAGAAAATGGGCGCGAAACGCCCTAAAAGCCTAGTTTATTAATATTATTTTAAATGAATTTTAAAAAATGACACTTTAAGGACCACCTAAATTTTGTTGATTATTTGGTCACGTCACAAACATATTTATGGTTGCAGCATTTCACAAACATATTTATGGTTGCAGCATTTCACAAACATCTCATATGGTTGCAGCATTTCAAAACTTAGTATTATAAAATTTTGCTCTCATTAGACTCTGCTATGTTCCGTCCAAAGATTAAATATAAAGAAATAACGATCATTTTTTTAATATTTCTTTAAAATTGTTTGAAGATGATGGACCAAACCTCATAGACTTAACAAAGTAGATGTTAGTTCCACATTTTATTGAAAATATATTTAGGTTTGGGTTGACCCTCGTCAGTTCTAAAGATTGTTTCTGTCATAAAGATTCAAGAATATATTTTCTCAAGGTTAATATTGTTAGAAAAGCAAATGTTCAGAAAATTTTTTTTTTTTTAAAGGAACTGCTTGATTATGCAGCAAATGATGGCTTTCTATTTCCTATATCTTTGCAACCTGATGGCGTAGACCTTAGATTTTTCAAACTATGGACTCTATCAGACCAAATAATTTAAGTTTGAAATATCAAAGGTTTACACCATCAGGTTACAAAGATATAAGGGCTAGAAAATTTGAGCTTGTTGAAAAGACTGAATTCCTTCCTAAACTAAAATCTCGATAAAAATAGTAATTTCACAGCACTTTTGTGAGTCATAACCCCGTAGATCTTTAACCCATATTAATGCGTCATCACAAGTATATTTCCGAGGAGGGAGNGGGTTGCAGGTGGAACCACGTGTTCTGGTAGAACGATTTAAAAACTTATTTTGTGAAACTATTTGGTTGAATTCCGCCTGATATACTTCACTGCTCTGCAACCACTAGATGCGGGTATAGACACCGCTGAAAACATAGGAAAAGTTTGGCTTTAAAATATGCAATTCTTCAATTTGAATACCCCGTCGCATTCTGTCGCAGTCTTTGAAATATTCTTTAAATTGTGCTAAAAGTCCAAAAATTTGTTTAGATTATGTTGCATGAGCTGATATAAAAACATGGATCTTAAAATTAGATTAGATGAACTGAGCTGAAAACTTTAGAATGGTGGATATCGAGATCAATGCTTGATCTCCTCTTTTTCTTAATATCCAGATTAAATAATGCTTGTTCTCCTCTTGTTGCTTGTTCACGTCCGCCTTGCTAATGTCAAGAAAACAAAAAGAAAAATTATTTAAGAAAAAAATCCTGAATCCAACTACAAACAATATAGAAACTTTTAGAAAATATAATTCTGTTTATCGCACAACAATAAAAAAGGCCAAGACTAGTTATTTTTCTTCAAAATTTACAGAATACTCAAAAGACATCAAAAAGACCTGGTCTTTACTGAACTCTATTATATCTTCTAAGAAAAAAAGTCATTCAGTTCCTGATATTTTCACTGATGATGAAAAAAGTTTTGTGGGATCTGCTGAAATAGCAGAGGGTTTTAATGACTTTTTTGTGAACATTGGACCCAGATTGTCTAGTTATATTCCGGATTCTAATGTTAATTTTGAAACATATCTGAAGGAGCCATCCAAGGAAAATTTTGTGTTTGCAAATATTACACCAGAAATTATTCTTGAAACAGTGAGTAAACTTAAANGTTATGCAAATTATATCTGTAAAAAAAAAAACTGTGTATCATGTGGATAAACTTAGTCTTTACTATCTTCTTCACCCTGTAGTTCATAAACATGATTCTAATAACTTATGTTACCCTCTGTTCCAACCCTTACGCTGAGTATCCTCCCTTTTCTTTATACTCCCTCACCTCCTCCTTACCTTTTACCTGATTTATTATCATTCTTATGTTTAAAATGTACAATGTACATTGTTTTTATCTGCAATTCTCATTCGTTTATAGTGGGCCAACCAATTAAAACAACCTACTCTGGTTAGGCGGGTCCAAACTACATAGTAAATTGTGATTTTTTATTTGTATTATCTCGTGCTTTGTAGTTGAATAAAAATATGAAAAAATATGAAATATGTTATTAATCTCCAGATCAATTTACCTATCGGGATTAAGGATATCCCATTCTAAAGTTTTCAGCTCAGAGCTTAAACTCTTGTATTTGATACCCCTAATCCCGATTGCTTAATCTCAATATCCACTGTAGACACTTCTGATTTTCTTCTTAATACTTTCTTTTCGATAACCCTGCTGGATTCCGACCATTGAGAGTTCTCTCACTAATAGTGTGCAAAATGTCAAGGGTTCTGATTTTCTGTTTGGTTTCTACTATCGAAACTCTGATTGGTTGAATTTTAGATACGTTTCTGATAATTGATGTAAAATTAATGAAAAGATGGGTATCAAGCATTCATCCTCGATATCCACAATTCAAAAGTTTTCAGCTTTGGGCTTTATTGGTTAGTCGAATAAATGCATTAAACAAGATCAATAAAAATTAAAGAAACAAAAAATTTCAAACTTTAAAAGATTCAAAATTTGTTCGCATTCAATAAAGTGTTTAAGTGTTGCTTACTCCAGTCCATATCATGTTTCTAAACTTATTTATGTTTTATAATTTTATATTCTTATTATGATTACTTGGCAGTTTAGATGTTTATTAAAGTTTCCTCGAAAATTCTCAGTGAAACAAAAATAAATTCTTAACTTATTTATTTCACAAAACACAAACAACATTTAACAGTAAACAGATAATCATCAGAATTGATTAATAATTGATAATAATAATAATAATAATAATAATAATAATAATAATAATACATACATACATACTAGCTGAAGGGCCCGGCGTTGCCCGTGGAAATTTTTTTTATTTTGGAAAAAAATTCGGATTTTTTAGCCTTTAACACCCCCAGGGCCACCCATGAGTTTCCACAAAAAATTCAGCCCACTCGGTCTAGCCGTTTGGCCGGCTATATGCATCATATATATATACAAATGTCTTGTTTTATTATATAGAAAGATATGAGCCAAGAGCTTTATTATACAGATAGATAGGCAAAAATTTGTTGAAAAGGTTTTTCTTGATTTCTACTTATCTGCCCATACTTATCTTCTTGTTAATATTCTGCCATTGTAAGAATATTTGTTTTTCAACATCTTTCAGTTTTTTGGTGAAATATTTGTAAAATTAATTTTTCTTCTTTATGACATCGAAGGTTTTGGCTTCTTACATTATTATTTTTAAATTAAAATATTCCGATTTTTAAAGAAAATGGATATTACTGGGGGATAAAGAAATTCTCGGTAAAAGAGTTAAACATGAACATTTTATTTATCAATACCTTTGATATAATCACATGGATTGCAGACATGATTAAAGTCGTCAAATTAAAGAATACAGAAATATTTTATTCAAATGCCATTATAGATAGATAGATAGATAGATAGATAGATAGATAGATAGATATATAGATAGATAGATAGATAGATAGATAGATGGACTGATATACAAATAGATAGATTAGATAGATATAAAGAAAGATAGATGAGAAAAAAATAGGCAGTTTTAAATTGACAAATAGATAGCAAGGGGGGGAGAGGTGTATATACATTGATGGACATAAATAGATAGAAAGATAGTTGGATAGATATATAAATAGATGCATAGATGGATAGATAGATTAATAGTTATTTAAATAAGAAAAATAGATAATAAGAAGTTAATAAATAAAAAGATAAAAGGATGAATAAATTGATAGATAGATAGATATATAGATAGATAGATAGACAGACACATAGATAGATAGATAAATATTATCTAATCTTGAAACTAACCTGAAGTGTGTCTAAACTAATATTGTAAACTATATTCCGTGCTCCTATTAATAGGCTACCACCGTCTTCCTATTGAATAACTAAACCTTATATACACCATCTCAGGGGGAGGGGAGGGTGTTCACAAGGAGGGGGAGGGGAGATTGGATCAAATTCAATATTAAATTTAACGATTTGCAAAAGTTTCAATAATTAATTTTATTTTGATTTGGTTTGATTTTTATTATTATGGATTGATTTACATTCTAGTTGTAAAATGATTTTTTTGGGGCCTTTAAAATTTACAACAAATGTTTATAGTGCAGCTCTGTAAACGTTCAATGAGATTGCTAATACACATTTTTTCAAAATATTTGTACTTTTTCAATTTAAAAAACATTGCATCACTGGTCTGTTCTCCCATCCCCCCCCCACACCTATTCAGATTTCTTAAACTGAGTGAATTTTCTTTAAAAAAAAGTTTTTAACTTTTTGTTTTCAAATATAGATTTTTTGTGGCTTGTTGAGAGGCATGTTGGTAGTGATTGAGATATTCTGTTTTTCCGTTTTATTCTTCTCCGGTATGTTGACCAACAGGTTGTTCTGGGTCGTCGAGGTCGGGGTCAAGGGGGAGGTGCTTGAGGTGGTGGAGGAGGAGGAGGAGGATGATGAGGAGGAGGAGAAGGGAGGGAGGGAGGGGGTCGGGATAAAGTTTGGTTCAGTGTAATGGCTGGTTTCCTCCTTTCTAGTTCTGAAATAAAATTCGATTTAAATTGATTTTTCAATTATCAAATCCAGTAAACAACCAAACAATCAATCAATCAATTCAGAATTCATAAGATCAACTAATCAGGCATGCAGTTGATCATTCAGTCAACCAACGAATCAATCAATTCAGAATTCATAAGATCAACTAATCAGGCATGCAGTTGATCATTCAGTCAACCAACGAATCAATCAATTCAGAATTCATAAGATCAAGTAATCAAGCATGCAGTTGATCAAGTAGTAAACCAATCAATTTATCAACTATTATACCTGTCATTCATTAGATCAATAAATCGAGCAAACGATTGAGTAAAAAACATCCAATTATTTGATCAATAAATAACGTAGGAGATCGATCTATCAATCAATCTATTTATCATTCATTAGATTGATCAATGAAGTATTCAATCCAGTAAAAAACAAATCAGTCAATCAACAAGTGAATCATTCAATCATTAGAACTAGCAACCAATTAATCGATTAATCAATGAATCAATGAACTACCTGTCCATAGCTTGTGCCTCCAGGTAAGCATGTCCACACTTGAGATAAGAATGCTGTTCAATGTATCGCCGGGTCACAAGATGACCGGCCCCTGCCCCAACCAGCAGGGCGGCCAATGCGGCGAATATTACGCCGATAGCAAAGGTCTGTGGCGAGTAGAAGCTGTTGTGGCTTATATACGGTCCTAAAAAACAATGATTATAATAATAATGATAATAACGATAAAAATGATAATAATGTTAAAAAAATGATGATAATAATAATGTCAATTGAAAATGTTATTATTTTAATAAAAAGAATGATAAAAATAATGACAGTATTAATAATAGTGATAGTAATAGAAGCTTTGATAATAATGATCGTTGTAATAAAAGTTTGAATGATGATAGAAATAATAACTTTGATGATTAAAATAATGATATTTAAAGTGAAAAAAATATGGAGAAAAAATAAAAAATGAAGAAAATGAAGAAAAATTAGGAAAAATGAAGAAAAATTAGAAAAAAAGAGGAAAAATAGGGAAAAAAGAAGAAAAATTAGGAAAAATGTGGAAAAATGAGGAAAAATGAAGAAAAATTAGAAAAAAATTAGAAAAATGAAGAAAAATTAGGAATAATCAAGAAATATTAGGAAAAATGAGGAAAATGAAGAAAAATGATGAAAAATGAAGACAATAATGAAGCCAATAATGATTAAGAGATGATGAAGACACTGATAAAAAAGATATAATATTCTTACTTTCTCTAGGATGAGAGTAGGGTTCCTCGTCAAAGAATGTGATTGTTTCATAAACTGTGTTGGAAACTCTTAATCCTTCTAGATAGATATAAGATACAGGATGTCCCGCGAAACATGACAGTTGGTGAATAGATATAAGATACAGGGTGTCCCGCGAAACATGACAGTTGGTGAATGGTTTAAAATGTCTTCTTCCAAAATATGTTAATAATAAAAATATTGTATGGGAGTCATCTTAAAGTAAAATTAATTTCAACGTAAAATATATTTGAATAAAAAATTTTCTAAACAAAATGAACGATACAAAAAGTCTTTAATATCTAATACAGCATATTGAAGAAGACATTCAAAACTATTCACCAATTGTCATGTTTCGTGGGACACCCTGTAGAAAGATAGATAGATATATGGTTACATAGATATATTATAAGTAGATAGATATATGATAGAAAGATAGATAGATTGATAGATGGTTACATAGATAATGCTAAGTGGATAGATATAAGATAGAAAGATAGATAGATAGATGGTTACATAGATATATAATAGGTAGATAGATAGACAGATAGATGGATTATAGATAGATAGATGACAGATAGATAGATGATAGATGATAGATAGATAGATCGATAGATAGGTAGATGGATTGGCTAGATAGGTTGCCCTTAGTAAAATAGAACAATTAAAGTTAATTAAATGTATAGATAAATAATAAGAAATTGCCCAGTTTAAATCCTTTAATACACTGCCCCAGGGTTGAATATTGAATATATAATTAGAAAAATGCAATTATTTTAGAACCTATTTAGACTTCTTATTACCCCCAATAATAATAGGGTAAACCGTTCCTTTTCTTACTCAACTGTTACTGTTTTAAATCTTAAAAAGTTGATTTCTGACATATATTGTCTATGTGCAGCATAAATCAAGAAACCACAATTCTAAATAGTCAATTTTACGCTAGGAAAACTTGGCTATCTCAAATTTATTCTTGATTAACAAAGGTTTAAAGGGCACTGTTGTGAATTAGACATGCCACTCTATAAATGCAAGTCCCAGGAAAGGTCCCTAGAATGAGTTATTACTCAAAGTATCAATAAAAACTAACCGACAGTTTTGCTGTTGGGGCAGCCAGGGTGAGCGCCTGTGCTGACCTGCTGGAGTAGCGTGCTTGTATCCTGCGCGCTTCCGGCGTGCTCAGTACACGCCTCATCCTCTACGCTCCACGCGCAATAGGGATCCTGAATATCAATTAATCAATTAATCAATCTATTATAAGAAAATAAGAATAAACAGTAAGATTAATTATTAAAATATCAGAATTAAATCTCCTATACCTGTAAAGCAACACAAGCTGCACAGTTTTGTATGGTCTGAGCCCCACATCTATGCATAGGAACACTCTTCACCTCATGATCACTCAAAGCCACCAGATTGGCGCCATTTTGAATTTGTCCGCCATTTTCTGATCCGTTCCGTGCTAGAACTATGAGAAGGTTGTTCACAGCCACGTGATAGGGAAACAGCTGAAGATCTTCTATCAAGTTTGTTTGAGGAATTCCGCCATTATCGAAAGTCGCCATTTTGAGAATCCTACCCCGGGTTGTGCCAACAAAAAGAACGTCAACTTTCCGACCATCTGCGGTCAGAACCTTTGGGTCGACCGCAATCGACGTAAGTCGCTCGTGAGGACTTGTCTTTACAAAATGCGGGAGATTGTATGCTGACGGTACAGCGGCATCCATAAGCACATTATCCTTGAGAAAGTTGAGATGTTCCTCTGTGAGGTCCTCTGAACTGTTCCTACAGGTTCCAGGCTTATCAGGACGATTGACCGGCAGCCAGTTGGAGTTAGGGTCATTCTGTACCTTGAAATCACCAGCAAACGCCTGAACACACAAAAAAATATTTTGGAACAAAGTTTTTCAAAATTCAATTTTTTTATTAAATTTGACAAACTCAATCAAATCTCTGCAATCTCTCAATCAACCAATAAATAAATAAATAAATCAATTAACTACCTTGTGAATATCCTCCATATTAAAACTACAGATTGCACTTCCAGAGATAGCATTGTCAGGGGTGTTGAACACTCCAAACACACGGTCTATAATAATAATAATAATAATAATTACCTGGTAAACAGACTGAATCTCATTAAAGTAGAATGGGAAGATGCCCGGTATTGAACAGTTAAGCCGGGCTTTCAAAAATGTGGTCCATCGATTCTTAGAGTTTCGAGGACCACCCTGGTCCTTCTTACACACTCGAGCAACGCGAGAATACACATTCTAAATATTTAACATGATAAAGAGATTGTTTGCAGATATAGGATTAGGATTCGATTGGAAATATAAATATCATTTCTATGAGATGTTTCTGTGAAGAGTATTGATATAAGCCACCCTCCTTGGACCCAAATTTGACGGGCACGGCATGCTTGACTTTTACCTTGCCACAGTTGATGAACTCTACAGCCTCCTCCCGGAAGAAGAAGTAGACGAAGTCCTCATCCTCGGCCGATCCAACAAAATCAGGACCTAGACAATATAATACTCAGAATTCAGGACCTTAAACCGGCCTTGGGGCAAATCCGCAAACGACAAACTTACGAATCAGCCAAGAAAATTGTCTCCAGAATTCGCAAGTATAATAAATCAAACTCAGGATACTTGGATACCTGGACAACTAACTAACTAACTAACTAACTAACTAACTAACGAACGAACTAACTAACTAACTAACTTNAACAAACGAACGAACGAACGAACGAACGAACGAACGAACGAACGATCGAACGAACGAACGAACGAACGAAACTAACTGGTTGCATGGTGTGAAAAATTAGCATCTATTGGATGAAGAGGCGCGCTTGGTTCCTCATATTTGAGGTTAAAGGTTGTTCCTTCTTCAGCTTCCCTTCTCACCAACTCTTATACTTTTTATCATTATTACTTTAGGTCTTTCCGGTCTTATAATCCATCCATCTATCAATCTCTTCATAATGTCTTTCATACCTACCCATCTAACCATGATGTCTATCCTTTCTATCTGTCAAACCATGCAATTTCTATCCTTACTGTCTATCTTCTTTCTGTCCTTAATTTCTATCCTATCTATCTGCATAATTTCTATACTATCTATCTATCTATTTACTTAACCATGATTTCTATCCTTTCTATCTTTCTAACCATGCAATTTCTATCTTAAATCTATCTATCTGTCCATGATTTCTATCCTATCTATCTATCTATCTATTTAACCATGATTTCTATCCTATCTATCTATTTATCTGACCATGATTTCTATCCAATATATCTATTTTTCTAACCATGATTTCTATCCTTTCTGTCTATCTATCTAACTATGAATTCTATCCTATCTATGTGTTCATAACTTTTTATCCTTTCTATTAATCTAGCCATTATTTCTATATTTTCTATCTATCTAACTTTATTTTTCTGCCTATAAAGATATGATAAATATATTAATAGATTAGTGGATAGAACTTTATTTATTGTTTTTTGCTCCCTGCGCAGTGCGCAACTTTTAACTTATTTTTTCCTTTACAAACTTTATCCCTTACAAATGCATTGCAAATAAAGCCTTTACATCATTATATTGTTAGAGTTGGAAGTCTCATGCTTTGTGGGGAACCCTGTAAAACCTATTTTTCTATTATAATTCTAAAATTGATTACATAAACCAATAAACCTACCGTTTAGGTGTTTGAAGTTGTACTGCTCGGTTCTAACTTGTTCCTTGATGATCAAAGAATCAGACCCAGAGAAATCCGATACAGTTCCACTGTACAGCGCACCACCTATACAATCAATCAATCAATCAATAAATAAATAGATTTATGAATCAATCAATCAACCACATAAACAATCAATAAATCAATCGATAATTCATTTAATTTTATTATTATAAAGAATTGATCAGTTTACCAACAAGCGAATCAATGCAGGGCTTTCGATCTGGAAGTCAATTGATCTATAGGTTATTTTATCTATAGATTGTTCCCTTTAACGATCAATTGATTTCTAGATAAATTGATCTATAGATCAATCGATCTGTAGATTAATCGACTTTCAAATGAATCGATCTGTAGATTAATTAATCTATTGTTGAAGCGTTATGTAGATCAATTAATCTGTAAATTAATCGATCTGTAGAGAAATTGACTTGTAGATCAATTGATCAAATAACAGATGTTTAAAAAAAAGTTTTATAATACACCCCTTTATCTGTCTGTCTGTCTGTCTAACTATCTGTCTATATGTCTGTCAACACGTCTAACTATTTTGATCCAAATTTGTCCCAAACTTCACATTGAGGGTTAAAAAGGGTGTTTTTACAACCGTTTTAGTGGTTCCTTAACCTCAGACTCTTTTTGTTTCAGATTACAGGACCTTGAGGGACAGGGGGATCCTCTTTCGGGCCAGGCAAGTAGCTTGCTGCCTACAAGCCACAAACAGGGGTAACACTATTTTTAAAACATTTTATAACAAATATTTTCTCAAAACAATCTTGAGCAAAATAGTTTTTGAATTTCGTCGATATTTTTGGAAAATTATCTAACCCTGAATACATTTACCAAGGGGAGAAAAACGGTCCACTTTAGAATATTAGGTTGTTTATAACACACACACACACACACTCATTCGTGTCCTTGGTTCTTAGCCGTCGGTAAATGGGTAAAAATCTTGGATGTGTAGAAATCTTGCTTGCACTATCTTTAAATTGCACTAAAATCCTTGAAAGAATGGTATTGTTTATACTGTATATATACTGTATATATACAGTATATATCTAAATATACAAATAGGATTTTAATGCACGCTTAGCTCCCGTATTAGGCCAGGTGTTAATTTAGGCGCGCAGGACCAAAAAACGATGATTTAAATGTCCAGGTTAAATAGTCAGTAAGCCTTCACTTTCGCACACTCGTTCAGGAGACTGTAGGTGTAATTTGATAGAGTGGAATGTTTGACTCTCAAAAGTATCTTTAAAAAAAATTCGGATAAAAAAGAATGAGATATCTTAATTTTTCTAGGTGAAAATTGCTTAGTCACTTGCGGATTTTATGCTGCAGAGTCAATGTTGGAAATTGTGACAATTCAACTCGTTTAAGCAGTAAAACGATGATATCTTCCTGATTATTACTGATGTGTAATGGGTACCATTGTGAATTGAATGAATATGAATTGGTTAATTCTAACCTGTATATATAGATGTAGAGTTGTGTTTAGGATCATACGGACAATATCCAACTCCGCTAAACTCCTTTTCAACCTCCCAACCCGACCTCCGCCCCATATCAGCTCCCGGCCTCCGCCCTGACTTCTCCGCCTCAAAGTTTCTCCGCCCTGCGCCCCGGTAGTAGCGACACCGGGGTTTGTAGCTGTTAGTTCCACACACCAGCAGCTGGTCATCTCCAGCCTTAGCTAGCACTCTAAATAGATAGATAGATAGATCATTAGCATTACACCATCATTTAATTATCATTATCATTATCATTATCATTATCATTATCATTATCATTATCATTATCATTATCATTATCATTATCATTATCATTAACATTATCATTATCATTATCATTATCATTATCATTATCATTATCATTATCATTATCATTATCATTATCATTATCATTATCATTATCATTATTATCATTAGTATCATTATTATCATTAGTATCATTGTTATTATCATTGATATAATTAGTATTATCATTATCATACTTATTATCATTATTATTATTATCATACTTATTATGATTTACCTGATATAATTATTACAATCGTCTTCGTTCTTCCCCTTGACAAGGCAGAGCTCCCTGTCTCTCTCCCTGGAGTCCCACACCAACCTGTCCACCACGTTCTCCTAGACAAAACATATATATAGATAAAGATAGAGAGATAGAGAGATAGATAGATAGATAGATCTGCATGTATGAACTGATAGACAATTCAATAATAGATAAGAATATTACATATCTATAGATAGATAGATAGATAGATAGATAGATATATATCAAATATAACTAGATGTATCCAGGTATAAGACTAAGCAGAACTACCTTAAATAGCCTGGAGGGTCGCTAAAATCGCTCTATTACCGTTTATAGGGACCGCCAATAAAACTAATTTCCGACTGATTGCCCCTTATTTAAACCAAACTTATTGGAGACAGACAATTTATCAAAACTTAATATTTTTATCATAAAATAAAGCCAACTTTTTAAAATTAGTAATACACGTTAATCGCACTTAAGACTGAAATCTTAAATGTTTTCAATCAAAGTTTCTCTTTTTGTAGAGATATTGATGCGCTGTAAGGCCCTATTCATCAGTAATATCGCAAATGTCAAAACCGCAAATTTTTACAACTAGTTTTTAATCCAACAATTTTATTCAAAATTAAAACAATTAAAAATATGCTAAATTTTTCATTTTTATTTGTTTGAAACAAGCTAACAAGTATGATTTGAAACAAGCTAACCAGATACATGATTTGAAACAAGCTAACCAGATACATGATTTGAAACAAGCTAACCAGATACATGATTTGAAACAAGCTAACCAGATACATGATTTGAAACAAGCTAACCAGATACATGATTTGAAACAAGCTAACCAGATACATGATTTGAAACAAGCTAACCAGATACATGATTTGAAACAAGCTAACCAGATACATGATTTGAAACAAGCTAACCAGATACATGATTTGAAACAAGCTAACCAGATACATGATTTGAAACAAGCTAACCAGATACATGATTTGAAACAAGCTAACCAGATACATGATTTGAAACAAGCTAACCAGATACATGATTTGAAACAAGCTAACCAGATACATGATTTGAAACAAGCTAACCAGATACATGATTTGAAACAAGCTAACCAGATACATGATTTGAAACAAGCTAACCAGATACATGATTTGAAACAAGCTAACCAGATACATGATTTGAAACAAGCTAACCAGATACATGATTTGAAACAAGCTAACCAGATACATGATTTGAAACAAGCTAACCAGATACATGATTTGAAACAAGCTAACCAGATACATGATTTGAAACAAGCTAACCAGATACATGATTTGAAACAAGCTAACCAGATACATGATTTGAAACAAGCTAACCAGATACATGATTTGAAACAAGCTAACCAGATACATGATTTGAAACAAGCTAACCAGATACATGATTTGAAACAAGCTAACCAGATACATGATTTGAAACAAGCTAACCAGATACATGATTTGAAACAAGCTAACCAGATACATGATTTGAAACAAGCTAACCAGATACATGATTTGAAACAAGCTAACCAGATACATGATTTGAAACAAGCTAACCAGATACATGATTTGAAACAAGNGGTTTTGAGGGGTGGGGGGACATTTCAGAACTTGTTTTTAGAACAAGCACCTGGGATATATTTTCTTAACTCTATTCCAATGCAATAAATTTAACCAAAAACGAATAAAAAAAGTTTTTTTTTCTGTTGTTAAATATTTCTCGTTTGTTTCTATCATATGTCACGGAGATATGGGAGGGTAGGATAGATAGATAGATAGATAGATAGATAGATACTAGAATAAACATAGGTTTCCTTTAACATGTTTATGTAAAGGGGAGACACAAGAGGAAAATATTTCAGATAGATAGATAGATGTCAGACAGATGTACAGTTTATAGATATACGGATAGATAAAGAAATGTAAAGTCAAAATTTGTAAGGCATTTACCTTTTGAGTTTTTTTTACTGTTTGACAATTATTTCCCGATTTTGATAAAAAAAAGTCATTATTAATCATTAATTATTAATTAAAAAACAACATTAATCGCGTAATTTGTATCCCTCTTTCTTGTTGAATAAATGACTAAAATATGGAAGAAAACAATAAATGAAATACAATAAATGAATGGAATTTAATTCCCACCAAGAGAACATAAAAAAGTACTGGGTGCGGAGAGAAAAATGAGTTGGTTATGAATTCCTATTGCGTTGCTCGAGTAGCTCTAAGATTAAAGCGTTTATAGATGGGACAAGGACATAAACCACTATAGTTTCAGTAGAAGTAATTATTACCATTTACTAATAGCGCCGATTTAAGGATTCATAAGTCTTAGTTGATAATGAGATAGAAAGATAGATGTTACCGCCATGCAATTTCTATTGGTTCAGAATAAACAACAAACACATGACTGAACCCTGATTGGATCAGGCGCTAATGGACTCGGCATACAGGAGTGAGACACATTAATATAGACAGGTCATGGTTAACTAAACTCAATTGCACGTAAGATTAAAATCTCAAATGTTTTTAATCACAACTCCTTTTATTGAAAAGAGACCAAAATGTTTTGAAAAAGGAGCTACGAGGTCACAAATTTGGTGTTGTGAGAGCTCAAAGAACAAAAAAGGCAAAAATAGGATCTTAAAATATTTTTTTTTTTAATTCATGAATCTTTGAAAGAATCTTTTACATTTATTAGAAATGCTAGAATAATAGTGATGATCAAGATAAAAGCATAAAGTATTAATTGTTTCGAAACCCTTAGAAAAAAACCTGTTTCACAATGATTTTTAACAGAAACAATTTTTTTGTCCCATCTAATTTTACTCTTAAATCTTAGAACGCAGCTGGTTTGATGCAATAAGTGCAAGCTAGGGGCCTCTTTAGATGCAATTTCTGATGCAATCCAATAATAATATAGTTAAATATGTGCATTGTGCATGAAATTATATATTAAATAACAAGCTCTATCATTAGGATCTTTTAAATACGTAATAAAGAGAAAGTTGGATAGATTTAATCTTAAGATTACTGTACATGTATGTACGTACACTGTACAGCCACTATGTTAACCTCGGTTAATTTCAAGTACCGAGCCGAATTGTAACCACCTAGAGTAAGCAGTACAGTACAATTACAGACTATATCAGGCAAAATGGGACGGTACGCTAAATGAATAAGCAGTGTGCAGTGTACAGTTAGAAAAGAAATGTACTGTGTATTGTACAATCAAAAAGTACTGCAAAGAGTGTACAATGTTTAAATATATGTATACATTTCATGTACATCAAATAAAGTAGTGCACTAAATGTTTCGAAAATTTATCGGTATTTCTTTATTTCGATCAAAATGTTCATAAATTCGAAATACTATCAATAGTTTAATATAAGAAACAAATTATCTGAGTCTGAAACTAAAGACAGAGTATCGTAATGAAACCCAGTATCGAAAACCCGGTTTCATGAAGTTTTGTAGATAGCAATATTTTTGTTATGAAATATTATTTTGTGCGGGTTTTAACACTTTTTTTGTTTTCTGATTTTTCAGATTAAAATCTACGCAAATGCGTAGATCCTAAAAAGGAAACTCGGGAGTTTCGTTCAACGATTCTCTCTTGAATTCCCCGCTCGGGGGTGTTTCGAACTATGTAGTACTAATGTGTAAACATGATGGCTGGCTGGTATTACAAAATCCCTTGGGCAGTGCCCATGGGTTAACTATGCCCGTAGGCTAAAATATGCCAGGGGGGCCACTACCTTCCTCTAATCTTATCATCCTAATCTTGAAGCATAGCATTTCTGACCCCTTACACAGTACACTATACACACGCACTGTACAATGTCAATGTACACTGTACAATGTACACTATACACCGCACTCTGTACAATGTACACTGTACAAGTCGATGTACACTGTACACTGTACACTGTACACTGTACCCCATGTACACTGTAGGTACGAAACTCCTGCATTTCCTTTTTTTATGTAGATGTACATTAAGAAATAGAAAGTAAATGAGGATGTAAAACTAATCATTTAAAATAATAATTCATAACAAAAATATTGAGATCTCCACAAATGTGCCTTGTCCCATTTGTGAAAACCCGATTTTTTCGTTTGTTTACAACGACTTCTTAACTTTTGGGCAGTACACTGTACAGTGTACACTGTTTGAAATATATTCTTTTTATAAATACATAACTTTCGCACTCTTACAGGGATGTATGAAAGTTGTTGTTTTAATTGTTCAAAGAGAATATTAACCCTTGGCAAAAGAACCCCCATCCCCCCGTAAGCTTATATTAATCAACACAAACAATACCAAGGTGGAGAGATCTCTTCTTCCTGTGTTTATGATGACATACACCCCTCTTCTATCCACCCCATTTTTACAACCCCCCTATAAACTTTTATTATTATTTTATTTCTTTATTTACGAGTTTTGACAGATGTCTTAATATCATTACAATATATAAGACAAGATATTATATCATTTAATGTTTTTTTATAATTCAATATTTATAAAATATTTATTATTTCTATCCTTTTTCATCATATCCATATAGAATTCAATATTATAGTATTATCATTCAAACTTTTCTATGATTTTTCTTCAATAAGTTTTCAATTATTAAAGGGACTGTTGGCGTATTTCCATGTGATTACCATTAATGCCATATTTAGAAAGGTAACCCTTCAAACATTTGTCTAGGAAAAATGATAGAATTATCCCTGTTTTACTCTCCTAAAATTGTTAATTATCCATTTTGCGATTTCTCCATTTAAATAATTAATATCTTGCAGATTTTTGCAGTGGAACCAAAAGAGAGAAAAAAAATGATCTATCTTTTTTCAGCTAGAAAAACGAAGATATCTTCCTCATGGTTGCTCAGACGGAGGTTATAAGGGTTTCGTTGTTGATCGTATATCTCTCAAAATATAGGGTCATTTGAAACTACATCACAAGTTTCTCTATCTTTTTTTTGTCTCTCTTATTCTCTCCTTTTTTTAATTTCTCTGTTCAGTGATCGCTTTTTACCTGCATATTGATTTAAATAATCTATTGACATTTTCGGAGTTTCATTTTGAGGCCAGGCCGTAGCGCCACAGAACAGAAATAAATAGATAAACATTTTCACAACAGTCTGTTTCTGTTTTTAAGCAAACTTTTTTGTTCAACACTGTATTTATGTCATATTTTCACTTATAAAACGTATTTAACACGTCCTCTCTTCTTGAAGGTGGTTTACAAACTAAAGTCTAAACAAAATTAGTGTAGATTTCGCTTGGACCGTCCAGGCTAGTAGTAACATGTATAGGCAGTCGGTACGCGCCAAACTAGCCGGTGCGTCTAAATACTAATCGGCCATTGGTCCGAATGAAAGTCACGTGATAGTTCATGTTTTGGCGGATTTTTAGGGTTGCACTGCTAAGATTATCTTGGGGAGAGAAAGGGGAGGATACCAGGTGGGAAGAGGAGGAGGGAGGGGGGGGGGGACAACCTGTTCAAGTCTTCAGTTCCTTCAGTGACCGCTCATTTTCTTAAATATTATTTTTCACAATTTATAAAATAATTACTCTTTCATTATTGCATTATGAATAATATCACAATACAAAAGTTAAAAAAAAAATTGATTATTCACCCCTGAACGTGTTATAGACATCTTTAACACTTTTTACATACAGCCTTATAAGAAGGGGAAAGGGTTGAGTATCAAGGGATGGAAAAGGGTAAAAACGTTTAATGTTAAAATAGACTTTTCCATTTCAAATTGGAAAAAAACTTTCAAAAATAAAAAGTTAGATTGTATGATATATACTGCCCTGTATTCACCTATTTAACTCAGAATATGAACACCTGGAGAATATCATGGTCTTTATACCTTAATTATATATAATTGTCGAAATGTCTAATGTTTATGTGTCTAGAGCTGTCTAACAGTCTTTATGTTGATTAAGTAGTCTATATATATATATATTATACTAGCTGTAGAGCCCGGCTTTGCCCGTGGAAAAAAAAATGTTTTAAAAAATTTGAATTCTTTTTGACCTATAACTCCCCCTTACCACCCCTGAGTGTCCACAAAAATTTTCAGCCCAATCGGTCCAGCCGTTTGGCCGGCTATGGACAACATACATATAAATACAAATTTCTTGTTTTATTATATAGATATGCTCATGTTTATGTGTCTAGAGTTATATAGCTATATAGATATGCCATTTTTATATCAAGTTTGACATTTTTATTTTTATTTTTATTTTTATGCCTTTTCAACCCTCCCTTTGCTAAGGCTTGAAATTCAAACATATGATTTATCTTTTTTTGGAAAAAATCTTATTTGTTTTCAATCATAACTCCACAAACTTTTTGAAGAGCTATGTGGAGAAAAACAAATAATGAATTGAATTTTGCTCCTTTTAATCGGATATGTCGGATATGAAGTCGGATATGTAATTTTGTAAAAAAAAAGGTATAAATGTTTGAAAGGAATTGAGTTTTTGCAGCAAACTCAGATTTTCTAATCCCTTTATTCTTTCAACCTAATAATGTCGTATAACCTCAGATATTTCAAACTATGAATTTTGTTAACTATGAATTTTGTTAGATCAATTAAGCTAAGTTTGAAATATCACAGGTTTACACCACCAGGATTCAAAATTATAGGAATAGGAAAATTTGAGTTTGTGACAAAAACTCAATTCCTTTGTTTATAAACTTTTTTTTCGAAGACTGATGATCGTGAACTGTACACATATCTTTCTGGATATAGATAATTTAAATTAATATTCATAAATCTATCTTTTTCATTATTAATCTATATTCTGTGCAAAAAAAAGACATACTTTAAAAAGCAATCCACATCCGATTTAAATATAAATTTAAAATAGAACATATTTTAGTTCAATTCAATAAATCTAAATTTTATATTTGTATCTTAACCATATATATCTATCCTTTTTTTAAATCTGACTTTTCATGTATCTATTTATATTTATATTTAGCCAAATATAGACTAATATCAAGTACAATCTATATATATTTGTATTTAGCCAAATAGATTAATATCAAGTTCAATCTATTTGTACTTTACTAATTATCTATCTATCCATCTATGTATTTAACCTCTGAATGACTATCTATCTATTTTTAACTAACAATCTAATTATCTATTCATCTTTTATATTATTTTATATAATTTTTTTTTCTTGACTTTTCATGCATTTATTTCTATTTATTTATTTATCTATCTATCTATTCATCTATGTATCTAACCTATGTTTAACTATCTATCTATTTTTATCTCTCAATCTGTATATCTATTTATCTATCTATCTATCTATCTATCTATTAATGTAGACAAATTATAAAAAGACACGCAACATTAAACTGTTATGATCGGTGATTTTAATGTAACGATACATTGCAAGAATGATCATAACTCTGATCGTTTGATAGTATACAGGATGCAAGCAGATCAATGATCGGCAAAGTTCGATCAATAGTAGTAGATTATAGGGATATTAAAATCTTGATGTGAATTAAAGAGACTGTAGGCATAATTTCAAGTGACCCTCCATGCAAGGATGGCAATTACAAGGGTTCCCTTAAAAGCTTTTCTTTAAAGTATAAATATAAATTAAATATTTCCAAATTATCTTTTAACATATCATGATCTAAGCGAGTTCGTTTCCTTTTCTTCTATCTGACTGTCCTTTTTAAAGGAATCTTTTTTGTTATTATTTTTTTGTGGTTTTTTAACATTTTTTTAAATTATCAATTTTGATGGTGATTGTATGTTTAGAACTGACGAGGGTCAACCCAGTCCTAAATATATTTTATTAACACAATGAGGTTTGGTCCATTTACACCACATTTTAAATTTATATATTCATGTTTTAGTTTCTTTAAACTGTTGAATTTCTCTGCGAAAGAGAATTGCGCATTCCTTGCAAAAAAAAGAGGCAATGGAGAAATTTTCATAATTAAACATTTTTGATAGATTAAGGTTTTACATTTAAGATGTTAAAGCTTATTTGTCTTAAATTGTAAATTCTAACGTAAATTTTTGGACTTAATCTTTTTTTAAATTTGTGTATGAAACAAAATTGCACAATTTTAAAATATTTATTCAGATTTTCTCTAATGAAACTTTATCTGTTTATAATATTTTAAGTCTAGAAAGATAAGAATTAGTTTATTTTTATCAGTAAATATTAAATAGCATGATGAAAACACCTATTCTAGTCGTCTTTGTTTTCTTCTATAGTGTATTCTCTCTTGAACTTGATTCGCCAAAATCTGCGAGAAAATGGAACCAAATCTCCGAAATATCTGATGTACAGCGCGTACAGCTGATCCAGCAGGAGACGAGTCACCTGACACGAGGTCCGTGTGCACCAGGGGAAACAGAATGTCCAACCGGATGTTGTCCTCAGGTCTTTTTGAATTTTGGATTTTTCAGCATGTCTCAAAATTTGAATTTCTGCAGTACAATTTCATGAGTTGTTCCAGAACACACAAGAAAGAAATAAACATTTGTTTTTTCAGTGTACAAACGTACTTCCAATATATTACAAGAGCATTATACTTGAAAGTGAGTGTAATTATATCTCTAAAATAAAAAAAAACGGAAATAGTTCCGGTTAAAACGTTGTCATATCAAAAATAATATTCCAGGAGCACTGGGTCTGCTGTTCTGATAATGTTCACTGCGCAGCTGTTGAAGGAGATTGTCCATAGCACTGTGCACTTCAACCACGGATATATAATAAACATCAGTTTACTGAGCCGGAAACTTAAGACAGAAGCATTGTAATGAAATCCAGTATAGGAAACCCTGTTTATTAATTGGGGGCAGTTTTGTTGATGATATTTTTGTTTCTACCAAAATTTTTAGTTTTTGCTTTCTGATTTCTTGAATTAAAATTTACGCAACTGCATACCCCCAGAGTTTCGTTCAATACCCTCTTAAATCCGGCTCTGTGCACTCTGCACTATACAGTACAAGTACAGTACAGTGTTTGTACAAACATAATTGGTTAGTGTAATGCTATTTAAACAAGTTGAGTAATGTGTAAAACATTTACAAAAAGTAGCAGAAAATAAAGATAATGTTTTTTAACAATTTTCACCATAAAGGCGCAACAGATTTAAGATTAGTAGCGATCAAAAGCGCAGATTTTTCGCTATAAGCCTATACCCCCTTTAAATCTTTGCGAACACTCATTTTAAGTAGACATTTTTCATATTTCTAAAAATTCCATTATTACATTTAAAAAAAAAATTTTTGTAGTATTTTTATTATTTGACGTAAATAAGGAAATTTGATTTTAAAATATTATAAATCAGCTGATTTTGTCAAAAAAAAGTTGTTGAGAGAATTATCAAAGATTTCGTAAAAAATATATCAAATATTATTTAAATTTTTACAAATGTTTGTAGTATCCAAATGTTTTCGCTTATTCACTTTTGTTGTTGTTTTAATTTCTAATAATCAAAGCACCCTGGACTAACCACAGTGTTAATTTTATACTTTTTTTTTCAAAATGTTTATGCCAACAAAAAAGTATTTAAGAAAAAAGGCTAAAATATTATGTACTAGCCTTATAGGGCGCTTCGCGCCCATCTTCTAAATTAATTGTGAACATGTTCCCTCTGTGTACATCGTAAAACTAAAAAAAAATAATTCGCGGATTTTTACAAAAAATTTCGCGGATTTTCAAAATTTTAAAAAATTTAATGACGATCGAATTTTGATGGAGACAAATATTTGAAATTTTGATCATTCATAAACCTTCCCTGGGGCTCCGTGAGGTCCCACAAAAAAATTTGGGCCCAATCGGTTCAGCCGTTTTGACGTTTATTGGATACAAAAAAGCCAAATTTATAGATAGATAATTGGTCATATTGTCATCGGAAGTCACAGCTCTCTGATATGTTGACAGAACCGTTAAATCTACGTGAAAGAGCGAATTTATATTCTAGATAATATACCCAGATTTATTATGTTTATTGATGTACGGGGATGGAGGGGGGGTCCTGAG